GACGGCCACAGACAAAGACATCGGCGAGAACGGGCGCATCACGTACAGCTTCAGTCCCGCCAGCGAGTCTGCTTTCCGCGGCGTGTTCGCCATCAATGCAACCTCTGGCGTCATCACGCTAGAGGGCGACCTGGACACCGTCCGACGCCTCGCCTCCCCCTTCTCCATGTTCGTCGACGCCTCCGACGGCGGAGATTCGCCGCGCAGCTCGCAGACGCTAGTGGCTGTCACAGTGCTGGACTCCGGGAACAACGCGCCATACGTGCGTGTAAATACCGTCACCGCCGGCGACGCTTCCACGCTGACCATCCCCGAGTCGGCCGGGCTCAACTATTTCGTGGCGTTTGTAGACGTCGTGGATTATGATGACGGGGAGAGTGGGAAAGTTCTGTGTCAGCTAATGTCTGGGGAGGACTTCAAACTCAAACCCGTGCCCGACAAGGGGTACACTCTACTGCTGAACCGGCTTGTCAACCGAGAGGCAAAGGATTCCTATCGAGTTTCCATCAGCTGTAAGGACGGAGGAAACCCGCCTCTGGAAACGGCGGTTTCGCTAACGGTCAATATTTCTGATGTTAACGACAACGACCCGGCCTTCCACCAATCGCTTTACGCCGCCAGCGTCTCAGAAAACCGACCCCCTGGTCATTTTGTCGCCAAGGTCAAGGCCGATGACGAGGACACGGGGATAAACGCGGAGATAAGTTACTCTCTGGCGAAAGATGCGGCGCCGTACATGCGGATACAGGCTAGGACAGGCATCATTACAACCACAGCCGTGTTGGATAGAGAGAAGAACGAGACGCTGAGGTTCAAAATTTACGCTTCTGACGGTGGAAAGGGTCCGCGAACTGGTATGGCAGAGATTGTGATCACTATCAAAGACGTTAATGACAACAACCCGAGCTTTAACCAAACTAAATTCTCCTTCTTCGTCTCTGAGAGCACACCTAACAGCACCCATGTCGGGACTCTGACCGCATTCGACCTTGACACAGGACGCAACGGAGAGTTTGACTTTTATTTCGGCGGCTCCACCAACGGCGACATGCCTTTACCCTTTATCGTGCTGGAGAACGGTTCGATTCTCGTGTCAGGCCTTCTGGACCGTGAAACGAAGGCAGACTACTCGTTCTCCGCCCTGGTCAGAGACAGGGGGGACAACCCCAGGTCTGGAGCTGTCCCCGTGGAGTTGAAGATTCTGGACGAAAACGATAACGACCCCGTGATTCTTTTCCCAACCTCCCAGAACCACACAGTGGTCATCTCGACTTACCCCGAGAACGGGATGGTTCTGGGCCGAATCATCGCTTACGACGTAGACGAAGGTGACGCGGCCTTGCTTCAATACAGTATCTATGAGGGAAACGAAGCGGGGGCGTTTTCTATTGGTCACTCGAGCGGGGAGCTAACCCTGATCAACATGGCCAGGCTGAACAATCCGGAGAACTACTTCCTGTCGGTCAAAGTGGCGGATTCGTCGCTCCCGCAGAGAAACGCCACAACGCAACTCCGGATTGAGGTCAACTTCGCCAACGTCACGGCCTTACCTCAAGACAAACCACGTGATCAATACGTCATCATCGTCGGCGTTATCGGTGGGGCGACAGTTGTCCTTTCTATTATCATCATCTCCGCAATCGTTATCATACTGCGGTCGGAGAAAGGGAAGAGAGGTGGAAGCCCTGGTGTGGTTATCGGTAACGGAGGTAGTGGGTCACTCCTGAAAGACAATAAGTTCTTAAACACGTCCTCCTCGTCTCCAGACACGAGTAAGACGTCAGGGAGTCTGGACAACAGCAAGTCTCAAAGTGACCCCTCGCTGACCGGTGATCACAGCGGCATGCCTCTCAACCCGGGAGACTCGAGTGGCAGTTATGGTGGTGGGGGTGCTGGGATGGTTTTGAACCCCAACGGCCTGTGCAAGAAGGCAGCAGCAGCGGAGGAGGGAGGTGGCAAGAAAGTTAGCTTCAGCCTTGACCTTCAGCAGGACGAGTACCCCGGTGGAGGAGGTCAAGGTCACGGCCCGAACCACCAACAGATGCGACTTCAGCTCCCGCCTCCTCTTGAGCCAAGTGGTGGGCAGTGGAAGAAATATAACATTAACGGGGTGAGTGAGATAGGGACTAGAAAAAGGGATGGGTGGGATGAGGGAGCTTTACACACGCGCTCGCAATCCCATATATTATTAATTCTTATTGCACAATGTTCTAATTTTCGTTTGTGCAGAAAAAAATTCACTCGGGCTCAACATAAAATTACAAAAAATATCCCCACTTTCGATTTCGCAGTCACACTGGACCGGCACCTGTGGTGTAGCGGTTAGCCGCTTTGCCGTGGTCTGCTGGAGACCAGAGTTCAATTCCAAGTTGGGAGGGGGGGGGGGGTATTTGTATCGAGTGTCTCAGTCTTTCTGCAGGGATATATCCCTCTCATTCCGAGTTGGCCAGACAGACAGTGTCAAAGGCTGTCTTCTAAACGATCTTAATAAAGTCTAATTGGGCGCAAACACGTCTACATTTTGAAAGATAAAACCGTGCTGAGTACAAATTGTAACGAAATTCATCCTCACAAAATTAAATGGAGTTCTGCTCAGACGAAAATAAACGGGTTTCCTTTAAAAGCCATTCTTATAATATTATCATGTTCCTTTTCACATAAATGGGATAATTCTATTGAATGTACGTTTGTGTTTTTACTCAAAATTTAATATATTATTATCCGTCCCCTATATTTGGTGAGTGGTCAGAGGGTGCCAGTAGTATGCCCTGCTTCTTTTCGCTGTCTCTGCTGTTAGTGTCTGTCTGATTTATGATTCCTCTTTCCTTGCTGTAAATGGCAGTCATTATGTTGATGTGCTTCTTCTCTGCTGGTATCCCACGGCTTCAAATTTGATAGCGAAATTTTGAATTCTCTGGCGTGTTGTATTTTGTTTGAAGCACCATATTATTATTATGCCCATCTTCAATGAAAATTTTGGAGTATAAAAAGGAAGAAGAAGAAGAAGAAGAAGAAGAAGAAGAAGAAGAAGAAGAAGAAGAAGAAGAAGAAGAAGAAGAAGAAGAAGAAGAAGAAGAAGTGAGTAATTAATTATCTGATGTCAACAAAGAAAGGCAACGAAGTCCTACGTTAGAACATACAAGTGTCATTAAAATGAGGCGTTAAGCTGGCTTCTCTCAGAACTCGCCCATACTGCGTCGCTCTCATCAACTCCGCGATTAACATTTCCGCTTCCGCATAGCCCTCAAATCTATGACCTCACCCTCTACGTCACGATCTATTGCGCTCCACGTCACCGAAATGTTGACGTATGGCATAAATTATGCGGCTGCCCCTCTCGCACTGGCGTCACGTCGGCGACAGGTTACACACAACTATATATTTTGTTGTTGTTCATTTTACTTTCACGTATTTGGTCTGAAGCGTTCTTTCAAGTGTGAAACGCCCTTATCGATACAATTTAGATCATTCCCGGGTTGGGTAGCTGCATCTAATTTTCACGCTTTGCGACTTTTATATTTGGACACTAAGTATTAAGACAATCGAAAAAACAACTACACCAACAAAATAATAGACTGCTAGACTACAATAACAGATAAATGTGTTCATTGCGCAAGCAAATTTTCCTTTAAATTACGTTACAAATACTAATTTTGGCTCCGCTTTAAGAAAATTGGTTGATTTTTATCTTGTTTTTTATTGTTTCGTTTTGTTTTGTTGTTGTTGTTTTTTTTAAGTCGCCTAATGTTTCTGTATGCCGCACAAAACTTTGTGAAGGGCAACATTTAGTCCACGGGCTGTAGTTCGCCTTCCCCTACCTTGATACAATACTTTAATGAGATTATCTAGCTGTAGTTGCATCATCCCTATGTGGACAAAGCCTGGAAGGTCACTAGCCGAGTTTTTAGCTTTTGGAAAAATCTGTTGGTAGAGGAATGGGGGGAAAACAAAGGGATGAGTTGATAGGAGGAGGGCGAACGTTGATGAAGACAGATGAAGACAAAAGGCTGTCGGGGAGGGGATGATTTACTGTCTGGTGAGGTATTCATCATCACCACGTGTGATGGGGCGGGGGTAGAGGGAGGGAGGAGAGAAGTGGTGGAAGGGGAGAGAGGAGGAGGAGGGGAGGGGAGAGAAGAGAGTGTAGATGGAGAGAGAGTGAACGGTAATAGCAATAATAATAATAATAATAATAATAATAATAATAATAATAATAATAATAATAATAATAATAATAATGATGATAATAATAATAATAACATTAGTAATAATAATAATAATAATAATAATAATAATAATAATAATAATAATAATAATAATAATTCATAAAGGAAATAATTTTAAAATATATAATAGTAATAATAATAAAGACGTTGATGGTGAAAGTAGGATGAAATAATAGCAGAAATAATAGAACAACAACAAAACTACATTTTAAACAATAATATCAAAAATGGTAATAATAACAATTACAGCAAGTTCTCATTATTTTCATTTCTCTGCACACGCATCTGACAGTTGCCGATGCATTATGTGTTTCCCTTTTAATCCTATGCCTGCTTTTATTCTTTAAACGAAGTGGCTAGCCGTACCTAAGTGCGCCTGAGAATCTAGCCGTACTTAAGTACGGCTAGACTGCCAGTCTAGTCGTACTTAGATCTAGGTTTGGCCCTATCGACTCGAACCTGTTAACATGTTGAATACATAGGTCTCTTTAGATCTAGATCCAGTAATTATTCAGGTTTAAATAATGCAAGTCAGCAAGGCACTTTTTGGTTTTGTCTAAAATACAACTACTTTAGGCCTTGCAAACTAAAAATTTCATTTAAAATTCAGCCATCAAGTACGGCAAGCCTGACAGTCTAGGAAGCCTAGCCGTCTAGCCGTAAATTAGTAAGTACAGCTAGCCAAGAAGCCTAGCCGTGCTAGCCTGCCAGCCCGTACTTATCTTAGGCCCTATTAACATTAGAAAACACGAGGTTTAAAATACATGCACTGTCATTAAGGCACCTGGTTTCGTCTCAAATACTAATACTTTAGGTACTGCACACTAAACATTTATTTACAATTCAGTAGGCCTTTTTTATGGTCAGTCTAGCCATCATATTAAGAATAAGTACGGCTAGCTTAGCAGTCTAGCCGTCATTAAGAACGGCTAGCCAACCAGTCTAGGTACGGCTAGCTTAGCAGTCTAGCCGTCATTAAGTACGGCTAGCCTCTTCCTTCTTTAAATAATATTATGGACATTGATCTTCTCAGGGATACCGTTTTAGTCTCTTCTTTAATTGTACTATCTCTGCCTGTACTGCAGTTTGGGTTAGGTTAGTTGGGGAGAGGGTAGGGATTTTTTATTGGTTGTTTTTTGTGGGGGTGGGGAGTTTTAGTTCAGTTTTGGTTTGGTTTTGGTTTTTGGTTTTTTGGGTTGTTTTGTTGGGGTTTTTTATTTGTTGTTTTTATACAATACAACAACAACAACAACGGTGATGATGATGATGATGATGATGATGATGATGATGATGATGATGATGATGATGATGATGATGATGATGATGATGATGATGATGATGGTGATGATGATGTCCTTGTGTTCCCCCCAGCCTGACGACATCAACAGTGACACGTCCGGCGAGTCTGGCACGTGCGACAGTGGGAGGGGCACCAGCGACGAAGACATCAAGTTTGACCACTCGCCTCACAGAGGTCAGTGTTGTGTGCGTCTCTTTTCTTGTAAGCCTCTGCTTTGTTTGTTTGTTGTTTCTTTGTTTTGGTTAGCCTTCCAGATGTTGGTTTTGATAGGTCTTTTGCTCTGAGCCTTCATTTTAAAGTGTGTTTATTTATTTATTTAGGGTGGGTGGATTCGATTTGGTCATTCGCCTCAAAGATGTCGGATTTTGTCTGTTGTTTTTCTTTGTTAAGTTAACTTTTTCTGAAGTGACCGATGCATAAAAAAAAAAATGAAACGTGTGGGACGAAAACGGGTTTTCTCGAAATGACACTGTTGTTCTTCACAATGTACGGGTTTTGTAATTTACTATTTAATAAATGAGGCAGGTTGGGTTTTTAATTCTTTTTTTCTCTTTTTTTTTCCTCGTATTTTTTGTTTTGTTTTGTTGTGTTGTGCTTTGTTGTGTTTTGTTTTGTTGTTTTATGTCCGAGCAGTAATTTATTGTTTTTAATTTGTGTGTATTATGTTATTGTAGTTATATTAGTTGTTTACCATCACACTTTATTCTTTGTTCTTACTTTGTTTTTGTTTTATGTTTTATTCTGTTTGGTTTTGTGTTTCAGACCCGGGAAGGGGGTTCTTTCTTTGGTTGTGAGTTTGTCTTTTTTGTTTGTTAGTTTTTATTTGTTTCTATATATCTATTTTTCTTTTTAAAAAATTTTGTAAGTTTCTTTCTTTCTTTCTTTTTTTTCTTTTCTTTTTTTTTTTTTTGGCTCTTCTTTAAGGGAAAAGGGAGATCTTTGTTTCTTAAGATCTTCCTCTTGTTGCCTTGTTTGGTGGGTACGGCACGAAGAAGGTCATCTGAGTAGAATTATTTTAATGCACACATTTAGCTGCGATTTCCTTTGTTTTCCAAAATTCTTACGTCTTTTTTTCTGTTCTTCTTCCCTCCCGTGCCAGGTCCCAGTCGCGGGCCGCCCCCTGACCCGTTCTTGGCGCCATACGAGCAGATGTTCCCGCCAGGCAACGCAACCAACATCCGGGCACTGCAGGCCATGCATCACGCCACGCCCCGAACCCAGTCCCCAGCCCTGCCCCTCAAACCCGGACAGCCGAGATTCCTGGAGATGGGAGGAGCTAAGAGCGGAGGCGGTGGCTTCGAGGGTGGGCGTAGCAGCTACCACGGAAACCGACACACATCCTCTGGTAATACGCCATCACCCGCGTTTGGCTCCTCCTCCTCTTCTTTCCGACTCCCTAATCAGCACAGAATAGCGCCGGCATCGTCACACGCCAATCATCACCCTGACGTGTTGAGACCGCCCTCCTCCCTGTCCTATACACAGCAAGGCTCCGCCCTCTCCATGGACGATGACGCGAGTACCACCACGTCCGGGAGTTACGTCATCAACCCTGAAGATATGAAGCTGGACGGCCATTACGGGAAAGACGTCATTGTGTGACCTTACCATACGTAATTCTAAATGACCTTGAACTTTAAACTTGAGCTTCTTCATGCAAAAGACGCACCAACTTATCAGATGATGGTCATTTGTGTCTGCTTCATATGGCCACGAACCTACTGAAGATGGACGTCTGTATTGTAACCATTCGGCTCTTCGCTGTTGCAAGCAGAAGACCTGACTTCGAAGGGGGGGGGGGGGGGGGTTTGCTTCGAGCTTCTACGTCTGTCTGTTTCAAGACTGGATCCAGCTCAGCTTGGAGCATGGATTGGTTCTGACAGACAGGATCAAAATGGCCCATGTCTTAAATGATCTTAATCATTTCGATGACACCGTATAACACTTACAACAGAAACAATGGGATGTGGAGAATGTGTACGTGTCTGCAATGAAGAGCCCGTTAATACTGCACCCTGTTATCTAGCAGCATAAATTTATGCAATACCCCATATTCATACAGTGCTGAATTGAAAAGGCACACTTCACATGACTTGCCTTTTGAGTTTGTGAGTCACGTGATTATGGAAGGTCCTTCTCTTCGGTCGGGCCACGCCCTCTGCGCTGAGTGTGTCTCCCTTTCAGAGAGGAGGCAGTCGTCTGGGTGGGTGTAACAGTTAAGCTCTTCACCATTTCACGCAGAAGACAAGTTTGTTTCCTGTCAAGTATCCCCGCCTATATGCTTGGATGCTGTATCCCACACAGCCCAGGTCGGATCGGCTCTCACAGGCAGAGCCGAAGCACAGCCCTCCTCCTTTTTATTCTAGATGTTTTAAAGTGCGTTAAACTTTTAAAAGCATTACAACCAATTGGAAAATTGAGCAAGAGAGGTAAGCGGTACGACTGTCACGTGGTATATCTGAATTAGTATTCTCTGAGGAAAGATAATTGACCAAACAAACTAGATGTGACTTTTTCTACTGTTACTTACCTCTGTAATAATGTGCTTTTATCACAGATTTTTTTTTAAAAAGGCACACTTACGGTTTCGGTACACCGCAGAACCTGGGTGACAAACCGCGCTGCTGATGGGATTCTTTCCAACGTTACTTACCTTTGCGACAATGTGCTTTTGTCATTTATAACAAAGATTGGAACACATAATGTTTCTGCATGCCATTGAACTGCGATGGAAAATGTCGCTGCTGAAACAAACTGTTCGAGATTTGAATAAATCAGTTTGCTTGTGAGTAGGTTTTTTTTTATATAGAGACTTTTCGACAACTTAACAAACTGAATCACGTGATTTTAAAGAAATATCTGAAGTACGCATGGGTTCGCGCGTAAGGGTTTAATGCTATCTAGTCATTACGTCAAAAATATTTGTAAATATTATGAGTGGAGAGTGGTGTGAAATGTTCAAATTTTATGTACAGAAATAATACAAAATGTGTTTGTTTTATGTGAATTTATTGGCTCAATATGATGGAAAAGTTGGTGCACTGAGTGGATTGAGATCTGAATAAATGCGAATTACTTCATCTATATATTATGATGTCCATTAAAATTCCTTCTGCCTGCCTGTTTGTCTGTCTGTCTGTTTGTCTGTCTGTCTGTCTGTCTGTCTGTCTGTCTGTCTGTCTGCAGTCTCGGATGCATCCATTAATCCCTCCTTCACGTGACGCCATCTGGTCGCCTTGGCAACACGTGGAGGTTAGTGACGACATCGTTTTCTCCTTCAGCGCCCATTTGCGACCGTCCTGGGAGTGGGGGTTGATGGGCAGAAGGAGAAATGTCCGTGCTAGACACGAGGTCACTGCGTGACCAGTGGTCATTTCTGGCTATTGGTGTAAATTTGGCGGGACATGGAGCTGAAGTCTTACTGCTCTGCCTGAGGGGAGAGAGGGGAGGTGGCGATGATGATGATGATGATGATGATGATGATGATGATGATGATGATGACGATGATGTTTTGTTGTTGATATGTCTCTCTTGTTTATTGTTATCGTTCTTGTTGTTCATATCTTTAATCATTTATTCGTTTTTGTTTTGTGTCATTTGTATCTTTCTGCTTGATTATTTTAAAAAAATAATTTTAAGTTAGGTACTTTTCCTTTTATTTTTGGGTCTTGTGTGTGTGTGTGTGTGTGTGTGTGTGTGTGTGTGTGTGTGTGTGTGTTTGTTGTTGTTGTTGTTTTCAGGGCGTTTTGTTTGGTTCACTTTTTTTTCTTTTTTTTTTTTGAGGTGGGGTACTAGTACGAATATCTTTATTAAGATATCATTGTTTTTTAATCGGTTGTTTTGTCTCTTTTTTGTCTGCTTATTTGTTGTTGCTTGTTAGTTTGTTTTGTGTGTGTGTTTGTGTGTGTGTGTGTGC